CCCCCCCCCCCCCATGTGATAGCAATGAAGTAGAAAAAAAAAAAAAAAGTTACATAAAATTCAATTGAGAAAGAAGTACCCAAAAAAAAAGTAAAGTCTCCTGCCCCTGTGAACGCTGGCAAACTAACGGAATCACAAGCCGTATGCACCTACGTACGTACCGATTCGGAGATAAGCTACACGTGCGGTATCGCCCCGAGTGAGAGCAATCATTCTCTGGCCAACAATCATGGCTAACTCTACACTGGTGACTGGGCTTTTATATTTCTAACACACACACTGTACATAAATAATTTTTTTAAATAAAACTTTGGTCATTTTATTACACCGGCTTGGAGTTTTTCAGATTATTTTAAATCCATGAAATTAAAATGTCTAATAGAATATATACAATCATTTCAATACAAATTTAAAAAAGGGGTGAAGGAAAAAACAATTTTTCTTTTCAGACTGACAAATTCTACTGCGGGATGTGCTTTGTGGTGCCATTCATTTCAATGCAATCGCCCACACTGAAACGAGCAGTACTGCAATTCTGTGGGTTTCAGTGAGGTGTGATTGGAAAAATGTGCATGCAGTTTTATTCTGAATTAAACTTTATGTTTGTAACACTCCATTTGTGCATTTTATTTCTACATAACAGATGGTATTCAATTTTTTTTTATCCGATTAATCGAAAAAATGTTTGGCCAACTAATCTATTATGAAAATAATCATTAGTTGCAGCCCTACCAACTATAGATTTAGGTAAACATTTATACAATAATATATAGTCCGGAAAAATAAAACTCATGTTGTACCTCTGATATAGCACGGATGATTTTCCAGTCTTCTCTGGCCATTCCAGGTGGACTCACTGCCACAAGTGTTGTTTGAGCTCTGCCTTCTGTGTTGACATAGGTAGCGGACTTCTCTGTGTAAGCTGCTCCAGGAAGAATAACATCTGCCATAGGAGCTCCAACATCTCCATGATGTCCTAAATGTGTGAAAAAAAGCAGCGCTTGAGTTGAGAATACATCTGCTACTTGCTTTTCAACTGTTTTAGTGAAGATTCTCAACCCCTTTAGTAAACCAGCCGGTCAAGTTATGATGTCATCAATGTAGGGCAGAGAAACGAAGCACACATCATGCACTTTAATACTGTATTCTGACATACCTTGGTAGATAATAAAGCAATCCTTTGGTAATTCTTGACGTGTGATGCAGCCTGCATCTGCACCCAGAAGAAAGAGTACTTTTGGGGGGTTCTTCCGTATGGCATCCACCCCAGGCTTATATCCCAGATCCAGTGCTGCAACTTGGCTTGCAACTCTATTAGAAAATAAACAAGGGCGCACAATGAATCATACAAAAGAACAAATACATACCCCTAAAGCTGCATTCTTCATACAAACATTCTTTTACACAAGCATATACACTCACCGACCACTTCAATAGGTACAGCTTTCGTAATTGCTTGGTAACACAAATTGCTAATCAGCCAAACACATGGCAGCAACTCAATGCATTTAGGCAACTAGACGTGGTGAAGGCGACTTGCTGCAGTTCAAACCGAGCATCAGAATGGGGAAGAAAGGGGATTTAAGTGACTTTGAACATGGCATGGTTGCTGGTGCCAGACGGGCTGAGTACTTCAAAAACTGCTGGTCATCTGGGATTTTCACGCACAACCATCTCTAAAATGTACAGAGAATGGTCCGAAAAAGAGAAAATATCCAGTGAGCGGCAGTTGTGTGGATGAAAATGCCTTGTTGTCAGAGGAGATTGGGCAGACTGGTACGAGATGATAGAAAGGCAACAGTAATTAAATAACCACTCGTTACAGCCAAGATATGCAGAATGCCATCTCTAAATGCACAACACATCAAACCTTGAATCAGATGTGCTACAACAGCAGACGACCACACCGGGTGCCACTCCTGTCAGCGAAGAACAGGAAACGGAGGCTACAATTCGCACAGGCTCACCAAAATTGGACAATACAGTAGATTGGAAAAACGTTGCCTGGTCTGATGAGTCTCGATTTCAGCTGCGACATTCAGATGGTAGGGTCAGAATTTGGCGTAAACAACATGAAAGCATGGATCCATCCTGCCTTGCATCAACGGTTCAGGCTGGTGGTGGTGTAATGGTGTGGGGTATATTTGATTGGCACACTTTGGGCCTGTGATGCTATCATGTCAACCATGGACCAAACTCTCTGAGGAATGTTTCCAACACCTTGTTGAATCTATGCCATGAAGAATTAAGGCAGTTCTGAAGGTAAAAGGGGGTCCAACCCGGTGTACCTAATAAAGTGGCCGGTGAGTGTAAACATCATGGAAAAGGTTCCCTTTAACATGCATAAATGCACAAAAATTCTACATGTCCAATAAAAAAAACCCTACAAAGCTGCAGCACATAGGTGGCAAACTAGTCCCACTGTCATCTGACAAGCAATGGTCATAAAAACCACAGATAATTACTTTACAGCTGTGAAATGCAAACAAAAAACGATTTGCAAAACTTTTCAATGAAATTGTGCTTAATCTAAAATGGAATTTCAGGCAACAATGTAAAAAAATGCCAAAAAGTTGATGTCCAAAGTATAACAAGGAAAGGTGAATTAGACATCACCTGAAAAATGAAAACCTTCTTCGGATGCTACTAACAAAGTGTCCCCTTCTTCCTGCAGCATGTGGGGTACTGAACCTATACAATATGCCTGGCAAGCATTTAGAAAAGTGCTCTGTTACAGAAAAATAGAATCTTTGTACTCTATTTCTTGGAGTCTATTAAGGTAGACAGGAATTCAGATGCAATTGGGTTATACTGCCGCCCACAGAAGGGCTGGACATTAGCAAACAGAAAAATGATAAGCCAGTTCCCAGTATAACCTCCTCCTCTACCCAACATGCCTCAGTTTTGTTGCAAAACAGTACTAAGAACATGGACATAAAAATATGGGCGGAACTTTTGTCCCTCAATGGACCGACCTCACTCTACACCTCCTACGTTGAGGCAGGACTATGTTCTGGCCTCCTGTGGCATTACAAATCAGAGTGTGAAGTGCAGCGGCAAAGAGACATAGTCCCTCCAAGGCAAACCGAGTCAGAAGTTACTTTGAAATGTCACCAGCATCCCAGTAGCACAACCAGGATGTCCTGTGCATCTGTATTGACATCAGACTTGTTTGAGACATAAGCTTGGATGCTTGTAACAAGCCATTACAACTGAAGCTTAAGGCTCCAGCCATTTGTTCCACGAAACAGGGTCTACATTGGTGATGAGAGATCCCTTTTGAGGGAACTAACCCAATCTAACAGGTTTTGACAGATTAAGCTCACTGCCAAAACAGCTTGGACAGCAAAACCAAACAGATTAAACTGCCATTTAAAAGAGAACTATGGGGTAAGTGTTTTTCCCCATAGTTCTCTTTAGGGTCACGCCAGGAGATATACTAACCTCCTCCCGTGACCCAAAGCTCAGTATATAGCGGGCCCTTGCCCGCCATATACTGAGAGTGCCGGAGCCGGGACGGATCCCAACAATAATGTCAGGATCCACACAGCTGCGCGAGTGACAGCTGGCTCTGCCTATCTACAGGCAGAGCCAGCGGTGCCCGCCCCTTCCCCAGTTCGTCCCTCCGGTCAGCACTGGAGGATCGGAGAGGGGAATCCCTGCGGGGAGTGGTGACTGACAGTTACCGCTTACTGCAGGGAGACGATCGGGGAGTGGAACGGCTGCATGTTTCTGCTCACTTCCCGATCAATAGAGCCGACCTGTTACAGCTTCTTTGTCACAGGTCGGCTCTAACTACGAGGATGAGTGGAAATCACTCACCTCATAGTTCTTTTAAGGAGGTAATCTAGCTGCCCATCAGTAGAATCCTAAAAGGTAAGCACAGCTTCTACCAGTAGTTAGACCGGTCCCTGCAGCCTCTCTCCTCCAGCAATGGAAAGTCCCAGTGCGACCTCAAGTCCTATACACTAGTACAGGGGTGCCCACAAGGTCGATCGCGATCTACCAGTCAATCGCGTAGCGATCACTGGTAGATCGCCATGTCCTCTCCTCCCACCGCTTCTCTGGATCCCCGCTGCTCTCCCCAGCGGGGATCCGAGAAGTGAAGGAACCGGAGGCGGGGGAGGGCGGAGGACGTAGCCGCTGTCACAGAACTAATGCAGCTTTCTATTTTAAAAAGGGAAATATCAGGGGGCTTTTTAGACCCCTAATATTTCCCCAAAGCCCCCCCAAGAGTAAAAAAAAAAAAAAAAAAAATGACAAAAATTAAAAAAAAAAATAATGAAAATAAAAAAATAGTAAAAATTAAAAAAACGTTGTTTTTTTTCTTGCCTCAGGCGCAAAAGGAGCTGGCTACGGCTATGCTACCGTGGTGCTCGTGCGGCTGAATGTGTCAGACGCTGCAGATGGAAAGGTGCAGGACACCCCATGTGCAACGTCGGCCACACGAGCACCACGGGAGGACAGGACGCTGGGACATGTAGGGCGCACTGGAATGTAAGCCGGCCGACTCCCTGCGTTCAGGTGCGGGAGGGGTTGTGGAGATGGATTGAATTCAATGGCATCGCCCACATTGCGATCGCCCGCACTCGGAATGCAGGCACATTAGTCCAGTCGATCTGCAAAAATAGTGCTCGCAGCATTTTTGCGGATCGCACTGGACTGGAACACAGGCACTAATGCAGGCGATTGCACTGTGGGCGAGGGGCCTGCCTGCGGAGCCTGGCTTCGGTGCCATTGACTTCAATGCACCGCCACGCCCCCTCCCGCCCCTGAAAGCAGGTGTTTTTTTCGTTGGTAGATCTCAATGAGCTCGTCATTTGAAAAGTAGATCTCCAGACGAAAAATAGTGGGCGCCCCTGCACTAGTATAAGACGTGATGACTCACAGGACCTTAGACCGCTGGAGCAGAGGGGAAGAGAGGCTGCAAAGAACGGGATAACAGACAGCCAGCTGCAAGGCGAGTATAACTTTTTATTTTTCATTATTTTCATCCCTAGACAAAAACCAAGCACTGAACCCTTGCAGTTCCGGGGTGCAAGGGTTAAGAATAATTCTTACCAGAGTTCTACTTGGAATACATATACTGTATATAAGTGACTGGAAAAAGTTATAGGAAGAAAAGCCTGAACCATTTGCCTCTTATCCATGTGGAAATTGTACATTGGACTTTGTTACATAATACAGAGAGAACTAATCACCTGTGCAGAATATTTAGTACTTTCCATTCCTCCGAGACTCCACTGGTGCTCCTGGCACTCTGTGCAATGCTAGACACTGCAGCATGAATTGCAGCCCCATCTTTGCGTTGCAAGGCACTGCTGCCCACCACAACCATAGGTTTCTTGGCTTGACTGAGAACCTGCACAAAACAGCATTGTATTACAACAACGTTAAAGTTGAATTCCAGCCAGACTTGAAACCCCATTAATGCAGTTATATATTCATTAGAAAAACATTCAATGTATTTTTAATTTTAAGCGGTTCAAGTCCTTTAAATTGTTATAACACCCCTCCCCACTAAGACTGGAAGAGTGAGCACCGGCTCTAGAAGCCAATCAGGTTTCCTGCTTACACATGTGTTGAGAAGGAACAACCTGACGGAAGAAGAGGAGAGCAAATGGATAACATTTACATACATTCATTTCACTGGCACCCCAACCACACCTCCCACCCACAGTGTGATCACCCGCACTGGAATGCGTGCGTTCCAGTGCAGTGTGATTGCAAAAAATTGTCCATGCAGTTTTATTCTGAAGTAAACTTTATGTTTGTAACACTGCATTTGTGTATTTTATTTTAAATTAAGGATGGCATTTCATTTTTATTCTTTTTTATCGAAAAAGGAATCGGCCAACTTCTCGATTATGAAAAGAATCATTAGTTGAAGCCCTAGTGTATTTATCAATGAAATATGTATTAATAAATAGAATAGAGCCATGTGGATAATGGAAACTTTCACTGCTAGCTCTCTTTGAAGTCTCTGGCATGCAATGAACAGTGGACGAGCATTTACTTGGGTCTGTGCAGTGCAACATACTACAGACATACAACTGTCTATCAGAACATTAACTGATGGCTTGAAAATTCATAATATGTACATGAAGAATACTGAAGATTTATGAAACTTTAACAATGCAAAATAATTGCTCACCTTGCTGAATGGATGTTTCCCAGATGCAATATCCTTTAATATTTGAGGAGAGTCTCCCAAATGATTATAAGAATAAGTCAGGTCAACAGCACTTCCTACCACAGCAACTTGGAGGTCATTGTGAAGCCAGCTAAATAGAAGAATACATCCAGCATAACTATAAATTCCTGCACAGTATACCAGCATACAGGAGAAAACCTGAACGCAAATCAGCAATTGACATAAAATAAGTGGTTATAATTAACGTAGACTACACACAGTGTGGCCAAAATAATGGAAACACTGCAAGAACAACAATAGTTCTGAAGCAAATAAAATCATAATTAAGTTACATATTTGGCTAAGTCAACGATAATAGGAGGCATATCAATCAGCACTTATATATGAGAGTGCTCAAAACAGCATGAAACAACAGAGTCCAAATTTCAGAAATGTCTAAATATGTGGCATGTGAACGGCAGGTGCATTGGAAATCAAAAGTCAAAACGAATGAATGTGGCAAGGAGAATAGTTTTTAAAAACAAAGACAATATATGGCAAATGCAACTTGAGGCACAGACATTCTGTAGGTGTAAATGGGTTCTTACTAAGGGTACTAGAGAGCAAATAATTGCAGTTACCCACACCATCACCCCCAAGGAACTGGGGTGGCTTCTTCTTGGAGAAGAAAAGTACAAAACACCACCAAACACAGTTAAAACGTGTAGGACAGCATTCCAAGAAGGAATGAAGGGGTTTGAAAGGCAAAGGGTACCCCTAATCTTTTAGCCTCCGTTCACACCTATGCAATTCGGGAGAGCATGCAATCCCACATCGCATGTTATAATGTTAGGTGAGATGTGGTGCCATCATTTCTTAATGGCACCTCAACACACCTAGCCATCACATGAGTTGTATCGCACCCCATCACATGGTAACCCAATACCATGTGATGCAGTGCGATGGGAATTTTTTTTTTTTTAAACAAAAAGAAGCATGCACTTATTTCAGTGCACTTTAGTGTAGTAGGCAGCCCATTCAAATAATTGGACTGCCTACTGCAGCACACTACAAGTGCACCCTGCAGCTCCTCTCCAATGTCGCATTGCAGAGGTGTGAACGAGGGCATAAAACACCTAGATATAAATTGTTTGATGTTTCTTTTGTTTAGTCCAATCCCTGTATACAGAACTCTAAAATGAACAAGCACCTTGTCTTCAGTTATGAAAGCCCTAGTAATCCTAGAGCATCGGGGACTTCACTGGCATTTAAATACATTTGTCCAATAGTAGCCTATAAACGCTCAAAAGGAAAAACACATTCTCATTCCCCTAAATCAAAATGTAGACATTGTAACATGTCAACCAAGGAGGTAGTCAACTATTTTTTAAAAGCATTTTGGAGGAGAATACCGTGTGGAAGATTTACTTTACCTATCCATGTGCAGCTGAAATAAATAGGACTTTTATTTTATATGAATACAGAATTTTTATTGAGTGATCATTCTCAACTCGTTTGGTGCATCAACCTCAGTGTCTCTAAAATCTGAAAATTCACACATGCGTACCTCTTCCGAATCCTTGCATTAAAGAGTGGGGCTTCAAAACGTGGATTAGTACCAATCAGCAGCAAGAGGTCAGCTTCCTCTATTCCAGCAATCCGTGAATTGAGAAGATAATTTGATCTTAGATCAGTGCTGCAAAAGGTGAATACAAACTGTCTTTACTGGATTATAGGGGAGAGGTGCATCAACAGAGCTAAAGTATGCAAAATACTCATTTCAATTCATTTTCAAAACTGCACAACAGACAAGTCATATTTATTATTATTATTTTAAAAAAAATACATGTGGCTTTTTTCTTTTTACAATGGTTTTATAATGGTTCATATGTATATCATATTTATATCTGTATCCATACGGAGGTACACCAATCTATGTCAGACAATATTAAGGGTATCAATCTTCAAAGAGTTCTACAGGCTACATGGAAACTGTTTGCAGTCTGAAGGGTTTACTGTATTTTAGAATGGACATAACCCGAGTAGTAAATATTCTGCATTCCAGCAGTGCTCTCTCCAAACTCTACAGTGAGTGTTATCCACAAGGAGACAGAAGCAGTTAGGCACAACCATATGTATTATCTGTTCCTAAACTAACTCTAGCTGAAACTTCTAATACATTTGCACAAGAGCCTGCTTTATAAAATAAAAAATGGTGTCACCCAGCTTG